CTCCTCAGAATGGTGTGTAATTTAAAACTTATGAATTGTTTTCTTTTTATTGAGTTATAGTTGATTTACAATATTAAATTAGTTTCAGGTATATAGCATAGTGATTCAGTATTTTTACAGATTATGCTACATTAAAAGTTATTTCAAGATAATGGTTACAATACCTTGTGCTATACAATATATCTTTATTGCTTATCTATTTTATATGTAAGAATTTGCATCTCTTAACCCAATACTCCTGACTTTTCCCTCCCCACTTCCTCTCTCCTCACTGGGGACCATTAGTTTGTTTTCTATATCTATATGTCTGTTTCTGTTTTGCTATATACATTTGTTTGTATTATTTAGTAGATTCCACATATAAGTGGTATCATACAGTATTTGTCTTTGTCTGACTTATTTCACTAAGAATAATATTCTCTAGGCCAATCCACAATACTGAAAATAGAAGAATCTCATTCTTTTTATGGAAGAATAGTATTCCATTCCAATATATATATATACCACTTCTTTATCCATTTGTCTGTTGATGGACACTTAGGTTGCTTCCATATCTTGACTATTGTAAACAGTGCAGCTTTGAACATTAGGGTGCATATATCTTTTCTAATTAGTGTTTTTGTTTAGTTTGGATATATACCCAGGAATGGAATTGCTGGATCATATAATAGTTCTATTTTTAGTTTTATGAGGCACCTACATACTGTTTTCCACACTGGCTGCTCCAGTTTACATTCCCACCAACAGTGTACAAGGGTTCCCTTTACTCCATGTCCTTGCCAAAATTTGTTACTTGTAGACTTTTTCATGATAGCCATTCTGACTGTTGTGAAGTGATACTTCATTGTTTTGATTTGTATTTCTCCAATAATTAGTGATGTTGTGTACCTTTTTGTGCCTATTAGCCACCTGTATGTCTTTGAAAAAATGTCCTTTCAGGTCTTCTGCCCATTGCTTGATTAGGTTGTTTGCTCTTTTTGTATTGAGGTATATAAGCTGTTTATGTATTTTGGATATTAACCTCTTGTTGATCATATCATTTGCAAAAGTTTTCTTCCATTACATAGGTTGTCTTTTTGTTTTGTCCATGGTTTCCTTTGCTGTACAAACGCTTTTAAGTTTAATTAGTCCCATTTGTTTATTTTTGCTTTTATTTCTTTTGCCTTAGGAGGCAGATCCAAGAAAACATTGCCATGATTTATGTCAGGCTGTCCCACCTATGTTTTTTCCAGGAACTTTACATTATCAGGTCTTACATTTGGGTCTTTAAACCATTTTGAGTTTATTTTTGTATATGGTGTGAGGAAATATTCTAATATCATTGTTTTACATGCAGCTATCCAGTTTTCCTAGCACCACTTACTGAAGAGACTATCTTTTCTCCACTGTATATTCTTGCCTTCTTTGTTGTAGATTAACTGACCATAGATGTGTGCATTTATTTCTGGGCTCTCTATTCTGTTCTATTGATCTGTGTGCCTGTTTGTGTGCTAGCACCATGCTGTTTTGACTATTACACCTTTGTAGTATAGTTTGAAGTCTAAGACGATGATATTTCTAGCTTTGTTCTCTTTTCTCAAGATTGCTTTGCCAATTCAAGGTCTTTTGTGGTTCTGCACAAATTTTAGGATTAGTTATTCTAGTTCAATGAAAAATGTCATGGATATTTTGATAGAGATTACATTAATTTTGTAGATTTCTTTGGGTAGTATGGCCATTTAAAAAATATTCATTCTTCCAACCAAAGAGTGTGGCATATAATTCTACTTTTTGTATCATCTTCAATTTCCTTCAACAATATTTTATAGTTTTCAGAGTATATAGGTCTTTCATCTCCTCAGTTAAATTTATTCCTAGGTATTGTATTCTTTTTGATGTGATTTTATTTAAAAAAATTTTTTTGCTTACAAAATTTTGGTTGGGGAGATAATTTTAGGCTTTTTAAATTTACTTATCTTTTATTGGAGATACTGGGAATTGAACCCAAGACCTTGTGCATGCTAGGCACACACTCTACCACTGAGCTATACCCTCCCTCCTTTTTCATTTGATTTTAAATGGGATTTTTAAAAATTTCTCTTTTGATATTTCACTATTAGTGTATAAAAATGCAACAGATTTCTGTATATTAATCTTGTACTCTATAACTTTGCTGAATTCATTTATTAGTTTTGGGGTGGAGACTTTAGGGTTTTCTATATAAAGTATCATGTTATCTGCAATAGTGACAGTTTTACTTCTTCCCTTTCGATTTGAATGCCTTTTATTTTTATCTCGTCCATTTATTGTGGCTAGGATTTCCAATACACAATAAACAGCAGTGCTGAGAGTGGGCATCCTTGTCTTGTTCCTGAATTTAGAAGAAAAGCTTTCAGTTTTTCAAAGTTGAGTACAAAATTAGCTGTGTGTTTGTCCTAAATGGCCTTTGTTATGCTGAGATGTTTCTTCTATACTCACTTTGATGAGAATTGTTATTGTGAATGGATGTTGAATTTTGTCAAGTGCTTTTTCTGCATCTATTGAAATGATCATGTGATTTTTATCCTTCCTTTTGTTATTGTAATCTATCACTTTGATTGATTTGCAAATGTTGAACCATCCTTGTGTCCTGGAATAAATGAAACTTGATTATGGTGTATGATAATTTTTATATGTTGTTGGATTCAGATAGTTATTATTTTGATGAGGAATTTTTGCTTATAGTTATCAAAGATATTAGCCTGTAATTTTCTTTTTTTCATAGTGACTTTGTCTGGGGTCATGGTGTCCTCATAGAATGAATTTGGAGGTATTCCATCCTCTTCAGTTTTCTGGAATAGGTTGAGAAGAATAGATGTTAGTCCTTCTTTATGTATTTGGTAGAATTTTCCTGTGAAGTCATACAGTCCTGGACTTTTATTTTCTGGGAGTTTCATTTATTACAAATTAAATTTTACTACCAGTGATTGGTCTGTTTAAATTGTCCGTTTCTTCTTGACTCAGTCTTGGCAGATTGTATGCTTCTACAAAGCCTTCTGTTTCATCTAGGTTGAACAATTTGTTGGCATATAACTATTTGTAGTATACTCATAATTTTTTGTATCTTTGTGGTATCAGTTGTTATTTCTGTGCTTTCTTTTCTTATTTTGCTTATTTGGGTCCTCTAGCATTTCTTCTTGGTGAGCCAGTTAGTTTTATATCAATTTTGTTTATCTTTTAAAAAAAAATCAGCTCTTATTTTCATTGATCTTTTCTTTTTCTTTTTTTTTGTCTCTATCTTATGTATTTCCTCTCTGATCTTTATTTTTTCCTTCCTTCTGCTAACTTAGGGTTTTGTTTTTTCTTCTTTTTTAAATTCCTTTAGGTTTATAAGCTAGATACTTTAAGACTTTTCCTGTTTCCTGAAGGTGGACTGTAATACTATAAACTTCCCTCTTAGGCTACTTGTGCTTTATCTCATAGCTCTTAGAGTGTTGTGTTCCCATTTTCATTTGTCTCAAGGTATTTTCTAATTTCCTCTTTGATTTGTTCATTGACCCATTGGTTGTTTAGTTGCATGTTGTTTAGTGTCCACATGTTTGTTATTTTACTATTTCTCTTTCTGTAATGTATTTTTAGTTTCATACCATTGTGGTCAGAAAAAAAAATACTTGATGAAATTTTTATCTTCTTAGATTTGTTGAGATTTGTGTTGTGGCCTAACATGTGATCTACCCTGGAGAAGGTTCCATGTGCAATTGAAAAGAATGTTTATTCTGCTGTTTTTGGATGGAATGTCCTGCTGATATTTATTAAGTCCAACTGGTCTATTGTGTCATTTAAGACCACTGTTGCCTTGATTATTTTCTCTCCATATAATCTATCCATTGATAAAAGTTAGTATTAAAGTTTCCTAGTATTATTGTATTCTTATTAATTTCTCCTTTTATGTCTATTAGTATTTATTTTATATATTTATTTGCACCTATATTGGGTGCATATATGTTAGTGAGCATAATATTCTCTTCATGTATTGATCCCTTTATGGTTGTATAATGCCCTTCTTTGTCTTTTGCTATAGCCTTTATTTTGGGGTTTATTTTGTCTCATATGACTATTGCTACTTCTGCTTTCTTGTCATTTCCTTTTGCATGAGATTTCTTTTTTCATCCCCTCACTTTCAGCTTTTGTGTGTCTTTAGCCCTTGAAGTGAGTCTCTCTTAACCAGCATATTAAAGGATTTTGTTGTTTTTTTTTCCATCCAGTCTACCACCCCTTTCTTTGATCAAAGCATTTAGCCCATTGATATTTATTATCAAGTAATTATTGAAAAGTGTGTACTTTTGCAATTGTATTACTTTTTCCATTTGCTTTTGTAGTTCTTATATGTTAATTTCTTATTTTTGTTTCTTCCTTTATGGTTTGATAATTTTCTTTAGTAGTATGCTTGTATTCCTTTCTTCGTAATTTTTGTGTGTCTATTATAGGTTTTTGATTTGTGATTACCATGAGGTTCATATATGTTCACTGACAATTATATCTACTTTATTTTAAATGATAGTCATTTAAAACACATTCTAAAAGTTCTACCTTTTTACTCCCCTCTCCCACATTTTGTTTTTTGATGTTTTACATCTTCATGCTTATCTCTTAACAACTTATTGTAGTTATAGTTTAGTTACAGTTGCTTTTATAATTTTTTGTCTTTTAATCTATGTACTGGCTTATTTGAGTGCTTGATTCTCAGTCCTTACTATACATTTGTCTTTTCTAGTGGGATTCTCCCTTTCCTATGGGTTCTTACCTCTTTTCTACTTAAAGAAGACCCTTCAACAATTCTTTTAGGGTAAGTTTAGTATTGATGAAGACTTTTGGCTTTGCTTGTCTGAGAGTTTCTTTATCTTTCCTTTAATTCTAAATGATAATCTTGTTGCATAGTGTATCCTAGTTTGCAGGTTTTTCCCTCTCAGCAATTTGACTTTATCATGCTACTTCCTCCTGGCCTTCTGCAGAGAAACTAGCTGTTGGTCTTATGAGGATTCCCTTGTATATGACTTTTTGTTTTTCTCTTGTTGCCTTTAGAATTTTTTTTTATCTTTTGCTATTTTAATTATGATATATCTTGGTGTGGGTCTGTTTGGGTTCATCTTGTTTGGGGTCCTCTGTGAATCCTGTACCTGGATATTAGTTTCCTTCTTCAGGTTTGGGAAGTTTTCAGCCAGAATTTCCTCAAATTTTTTATCCCGTTCTATCTCTCTTATCCTTCTGGGACCTCTATAATGCTAGAGTTGGTACACTTAGTGTTATCCCAGAGATCTCTTAAATTTCTTTCATTTTTTTAACATTTATTTTTCTTTTTGCTGTTCTGATTTAGTGATTTCTATTCTACTTCTTCCAGGTCACTTATGTAGTCTGTATCACTTAGTCTGCTATTCACTCCTTCTAGTGTGTTTTTCATTTTGGCTATTGAATTCTTTATTTCTGATTGGATCCTTTTTATATTTTATATTTCATTGTTATTAAGTGTTCACTATATATATATTAATTTTTCTCTAATTCAAGTAACATATTATTACCAATATTTTTAGTTTTATCTGGTAAATTATTTTTATTTCAATATTTTTTCAAGCATTTTTCTCTTGCTTTTTCACTTGAGAATAGTTCATTTGCCTTTTCACTTTGATTAACTTTTTCTGCCTCTATGAATTTAGAAGAAACAGTTATCTATTGTGGTCTTGAAGGAGTGTTCTTATGATGCAGCATCCCTATACAGATTGTGTGTGTCCAATATATTTGGTGGGAGAGCTGGATTTGATGTGGTCACATGTCATGTCTTTCCTCAAGGGGTACTGGCAGTTCTCATCTTGGTAAGGGGTGGACCTGGAGATCAAAGGGCTAGAGTTGGTGCCAGGTGTGAGGTGGGACTTCCTCTGCTCAGTGGCTGTCACTGCCCTATCAGGGGCAGAGTCTAATCCCAAGTTGTTGAAACAGAAGCCCAGAGGGTCAGGATCAAGCTGGCTCTGCTCCCTTTAATTGTGCATTTTCCTTCTCCCTGCACCATGACCCTTGGCCCAGAGGACAGAATTTATGAAGCAAGTGAGGCCCATGCACTGACAGAGCTCTAACAAACTGCCTGTGTAGGTGCCAGCATGTTAGAGGCTTAGACACAGCCTCGGGTGCAGGTCCCCTTTGTCCCTCACTACCTATCACTGCCCCTAGCCTCTGCCATCCTCTCCTCCTTGTGGAATCATTCTGCAAGGCTTGCAGGAATCTGCATGAACTCTTGACTGTATCATGAGGTGAGCTGTGGTGGAAAAACCCATCAGAGATCTTAGTAGCTTCTGAGGCACTGCTTGAGTAAGCACCAACAATGGCTGATGTCATCCCACCCAGTCCTCACCCTGTGACCAAGTCACCTCTGAATTGTAGTTTCAAGTATTTTTCCCAGTTGTGGGTGTCCCAGATTCAGTATCACACTGTGTTGTGGAATGAGTGGGGCCTAAGAATTCATTCAGCTCAGGCTGGGGAACACAGAGAGGAGGTTGCAGGAAATCTGGCCACCAGAGCAAACTTCTCTCTGCCTTCCTTCAGGGCTTAGCCAGTGCTGTGTGATCCTCATGAGCAGAATCCAGGCTTCTCTTAGCCATTCTCTGTCTTGGCATTCCTCCAAACAGCTAAGGGAGTATGTGTCCCCTATGCAGGAGCCTAGGACTTGAGCATCCCATCTGTGGCTCAAACAACTCACTCCTCAGGGCAGTTGTCTGCCTGTGCAATCTCTTTTCCCTCCGAGTCCCTGCCCAGGGGCACAGGCCCCGACCTGATCACTCTTTTTCCCTTCCTACAGGATGATGCATGTATCTTTCTTATGGCCTTTGTTGTACAGGAGTCCTTCTGCCAGTTTCCAGTTAGTTATCAGTGAGAATTTCTTCCATATGTAGATGTATTTTTCATGTGTTCCTGGGGGGAGATGAGTTCCACATCCTCTTACTCAGCCGTCTTGATCTCCTCCCTTTATGAATTGTTTATTTCTGGAATTTTCCATGAAATATTTTAAAATCACAACTTATTGCAGGCAACTGAAACTGTAGAAAGTGTAACCACAAATAAAGGAAGACTATTGTATTCCTATGAACATTCATGTATAAGTTTTGTAAGTACATATGTTTTCAATTTTCCTGGGCATATACCTAGTAGTGGAATTGCCAGGTCATCCGGTAACTCTATATGTTTAACCTTCTGAGGAACAGCCATCCTGTTTTCCAAAGTAGTTGTACCACTTACAGTTTAACAGTATTGTATGAGGGTCCAGTCTCTCAACATCCCTGCCAACACTTTTCATTGTCTGTCTTTTATTTTAGACTTTCTAGTCAGTGTGAAGTGGTATTTCACTATGGTTTTGATGTGCACTTCTATGATGGATAAAGATGTTGAGGTTATTTCATGTGCTCATTAGCCATTTATATATCTTCTTGGAGAAATGTTTACTCTTATCTTTTGATCATTTTTAAATGGGATTGTTAATTCAGTTTTAAGAGTTTTTCCATATATTGATACAAATCCCCTATAAAACATGATTTGCAAATATTTTCTCCTGTAGATGTCTTTTCATAGTTTAGATGGTACTGTTTGCAGCACAAAAGTTTTAATTTAACGAAGTCCAATTTATCTGCTTTTTCCATTTTGTTGCTTCTATTTTTGGTATTATATCTAAACAATATTGCCTGTTCCAAAGTGATGAAGATTTATTCCTATGTTTTCCTCCAGAGTTTTATAATTTTAATGTTTGCATTCATGTCTATGATCCATTTTAAGTCTATTTTTGTATATGTTGTACAATTATACTTTATAAAATGTTTCCTTTTAATGAACCCACATCTGCTTGTGGTAGCTATTCTCTTTGGTCTTAGTGACTTCCTCTGAAATGGAAGGAAATTAAATGTACTGTTATCTACATAAGAACCATCAAATACTTGAATTCAACTTTCATGACCCCCATTACCCCTTCAAAGTTTATATCTATCCAAGTTTAAAATTTCTGGCTTTATCAATCATTATTTAATGCCAGAACTTTTCATCTGTCAGAGATACTAAGATGGCACAACTTATTTGGCATCCACATACCACTACTGACTCACTCAACTAAACTTCCAAGGTCTAGGCAGTTAACAATATATTATAAAACATTATATCAAATTTAAACAACTTTTCTAAAGGAAGGAAACTAAAGCTCCTGCAAAATCCTCTCATCTTCATCTTTTAAATATTTTTCATGTTCTCTTACAGTCTATTCCTGTATACATATACTTTGCACAGTTTAATTACAGTGTACATTCAATTTCACATTCTACTACCATACTAGATAAAATATTGTTATTATGACGCTCTTGGTATACTGCAATAATCTCCAAACTGTAAACCTAGATCCAGCCTCATGGCCTCTCCAATTGCCCTAGCATGTTATCACCAGCTTACTATTACCTATATACCATACTATATGCAGTAGTGCCTTGTTCAAAAGTCTTTAGTGGCTCTCTCTGATGTTCTGAATGATGTTTAGCCATGCAAGTATCAAAGAACTCTATATTAGGATTCCAGCTCCTCTTTTAAAAGCTATGTGATTTGAGGAAAGTAATTCAGTCTAATTAAGCCTCAGTTTTCTCCATTATAAAATGTGCATCCTAATAGCTATATGGGAAAGCTATTATGAAATAGAATAAGACACTTAGTGCTCAAATAAGGGACAAGAAGAGTAGGTACTATTCCATAATCTATCTTAGAATTTTCAAATGCATGCCATTTTTGGCCCCATTCTCACAATCCAGAACCCATCACAAACTTCTACTAACTGCAGCACACTTTTCCACTCAGGACTAAATATAGCTTCACCAGACAGCTTCAATTTATTGATAGGATTAAGCATGCAAGATGTCATTTGTCTTTCTAGATTTTATCCCAGACAATATTTCCTAACTTTTCCCTCAATTTCCCCATGAAGGGATGCTCTAATGAACTAAACCTACTCACCATCCTGAACATGTCTCACAGGTTTCTATTACTCAAACCAATCTTTCTTCTTTCTTCTGATGACAGGCCAAGAAGTAAAATATTTATTTATAAAAGTTTTAGGGTAGACATATGGAAAAATTATCCAACAGTAGTGCCTGTTGACATTGAAACAAGATGCCAGTGTGCTTGTCAAATATCTAATATTGTCTGTAAAATTTATGAATATAGATAGGCTTTTATACATTCTAGCAATGTTCTATGTTCCTCTTTTCTTCATGTGCTTCTAGTTTGTGTGAAAGCTAGAAACAATGAATCGTAGCAGGAGACAGTAGTATATTCCAAAAGGCATGAGAATTTGGGCCAAAAACACTACCTTAATCCTCGCACCTCAAATGTTCACTTTCCCTCCTCCCCCAAGTTCTGAAGGTGGATTTTAGAGCTGAGATATAAAATGTTTCAAATTTATTGCTCCCCCAAATACCAAACTGGCAATATTTTAGCAAGTTATTATATATTTAAAAAACCAAATGTTTCTAGAACTGAGACTCATATACATTGAGTGCTACAGAGATTAGCAAATTTAGAGAGAAATTCAGGAGAATCTTATCTTTACCTTATTAACCTCTTTATTTTCCTTGAAAAGTTGAACTATGTTGAATGGTATTATTGACTTTTAATATAATGTGTACAAATATATAATTATTGAAACCTAACAACATGAAATTGTATATAAAATATTAGAAAACCCCATTATAATACAACTACCAAGTGTGAATTTGAAGGGTGGCATTAAAGTTTTAAATGTAATTATATTTTCCACATGGTTGGCTGCGGATTTTCTGTGCAATTGCTTTTTTAAACTATTTTTGGGTAGATTCAAATTCTATGAGTCAAAACTAGACTTTTAGTCTTATAGAGTTCACATAAAATCTAGATAATTTCTGGCACTGCATTTATGATCCCCTGTAAACCTGGGGTTAGTAAAGGAAATAAGGCAATTTGAAAATTATATAATCAGCAATTTCTGATGTCATCCTGACTACGATTCCAAGGTGAAAGTTCATTGGAAACATTAAGAATTGAACAACATATTTAAAAAGCCAAGGGAAAAAATAATTCCAAACCTATGAATGACATTTTAGACAAAGATTTACGACCATAGGATATATGTTGGGAAACTAGCCTTTGATTGCCTGTTCCCTGAAATAACAAAGCTGGTTACAAAAGAACAATGGGAGTACAGGGAATTTTTGACAGTGGAAACAAAACAATATCATGAGATTTTCCAGTCTATGGTGTAATGTTATCTAATGATAGAATTTGTCACCGTTCTTTCATTGAACTGAACACATCTGTAACAGAAAGCTGAAATAGAGAATGCACATGCTGAAATGATGATAGTGAGTTTTATTTGGGGATATAACTCTTAGTTGAAGTTTTTTTTTTTACAAATAGAGCTATATGTCTATACTAAATTACCAGGAATTCAAATTTTATGACTCAAGATCTTAATAACTTGTGAAATTTTACATTTGAAATGAATGTGGAAATTGATGAATATTTATATTAATCATTTATTCAACAACATATGTTGAGTGGTACATATTCAACAACATGTACCAGAAACTATTCTATAAATAGGTATATAGTAATAGGAAAATATGACAAACCAACTATCCTCAAAGAGTTTCGAGTTCAAAATAATTTTTATAATTTTTTATATAACCCAAACAGAAATTTGAACAGAATGTTTTCCGTGATGTAGACTGGTGACTGGATATTGCCCCACAAGTTACTTCACCACATTGAAAAAACTATTCAACTCAGAATCCTGATTTTGCCACATCATTGATAACAGATTTTACCTACAAGGGAGTCATCAACCAACCTCAACCAATCTCTAAGAGGGGAATCAACAAAGTTCAGTGAGATTGATGAATTAAACCATAATGTCAATATATTGATGTTAAATGAAAAGCATGAACTGTCAGGCATTCTTATGAATGCGTAGAGAACACATTTTTTCATGTAGATAAGACATATGCAGGAAATTATAAAGGGTAGTTTGTGAGCATAGGATCAGGAAAATAAAAGCTATCAGGTTAAATTAGTAGGATGCATTCATGTCCAATGGTAATGATTATACGTAATATATTTAGTAGCTCTGCTCTAGAGTTAACTCTAGCAACTAAAACATAAATTTTGACTTTCTGTGTTATAGATTAGATCCACAAAGTAGTGGTTTTTATCAGTCTCTTTCAAAATGTGGTGATTCCTTCTGTTTATAAATAAATAGACGAAGCTATTTCAAAACAGCTTGTGAAGTTTTAGCATTTCTTCAGTGAGTTCACCATATGGGTCCTCAGATGGAATGTGTGGAATAATGAAATAATAATCATTCAAATTAAAGGTTTTTGTGACCTCTTTCCATGTACTTTTTATTAAACTTCTTTTATTTGAGATAATTGTACTGTCATATGCAGAAGTAAAAAAATAATGCAGTGATATCTCACATACCTTTGTGAAAGGAAAATCAAAATGGAGTTGGTATCGCTAAGAGAGCGCTCTAAAATGGAGTTGGGAGGCCACTGAGGAAGTGTGATTTGTGCACATTTCAGCCTCGATGGCATCTGACCTTTTGACCACTTATCTAGAACACCTACCAGAAACTCAGGATACATAAGGACATTTCTTGTGTCAGAGTACAGCCTCATGGATATTGCCTATATAAGCCCCTGACTCTTTCTCTTCTCTGGAACACTCTTTCAGTTTTATTCAAATCTGTGTCTCCTGAATTACAATTCTTAAGACTCCAAATAAACTATTTTATTATTTGCAACCTTCTGCATTTTTATGGTTGACACGTTTTCCCAGTTTCCCCAAAATCAGTATTTTGCAAAACTATAGGACAATATCAGAACTGGATACTGACATTTGTACAGGCAAAATACAAAGCAGTTCTATCATGAGGATCCCTCCATTGCCTTTTTTTAAAAATTAAAAAATTTAATTCTTATTTACTTTTTAATTGAGGTATAATTGACATAGAGCATTATGTTAGTTCCAGGTGTACAACATAGTGATTTGATATTTGTCTATATTGAGAAATGATCACCACAATAAATCTAGTTAAAGTATGTCACTATACATATAGCCACAGAATTCTTCTCTTGTACTGAGAATTTTTAAGATTTCCTCACTTAGAAACTTTCAAACATGCAATAATTATCAATTATAATCACCATGTTATACATTACATCCCCATGACTTATTTAGTTTATAATTGAAAGCTTCTACCTTTTGACTTCCTTCACCAATTTTGCTCACCCCTCACCAACTGCCTCTGGCAACCACCATCTATTCTCTGTTATTTACAAGCTTGTTTTGCTGTTGCCATTGTTTAGATTTCACATATAAGTGAGATCATATAAAATTTGCCTTTCTTTGTCTGATTTATTTCACTTAGCACAATGCCCTCAAGGCTCATCCATGTTGTCACAAAGGACAAGATTTCATTATTTCATTCCTGAATAGTATAGTATATTTCATTGTGTGTGTTTGTATCTCTCCCCCTCTCTCTCTCTCTCTATGTATGTATATATATACATACACACACACATATAAATATATACATACATACATATCACCTTTTCTTTATCCATTTATCTGTCAATAGATACATAGGTTGTTTCTATGTCTTGGCTACCGTGAATAATGCTGCAATGAACATGGGAGTGCAGACATCTTTTTGAGTTAGTATTTTTGTTTTCTTCAGATAAATACCCCAAAGAGGAATTGCTGCATCATATTCCACTTTTAACTTTTTGAGGAACCTCCATACTGTTTTCCATAGTGGCTGCACCAGTTTACATTTCCACCAACATGGCACAAGTGCTCCCTTTTCTCCACATCCTCGCCAACACTTGTTTTCTTTGATAATAGCCGTTCTAATAGGGGTGAGGTGATATCTCATTGTGGTTTTGATTTTCATTTCCCTAATGATCAGTGATATTGAACATACTCTCCTGTATCTGTTGGCCCCTTGTATGTCATCTTTGGAAAATGTCTACTCAGTCCTTCTGCTCAATTTTAAATTTTTAATCAGACTTTTGTTTTTGCTATTGAGTTGTGTAAGTTCATCATATATTTTAGCTATTAACTGCCTCCCAGATGTATGATTTTCAAATATTTTCTCCCATTCAATAGGTGCCTTTTCATTTTTTGTTGCTGTTAATGTTTTCCTTTGCTGTGCAGAAGCTTTTTAGTTTGATGCAGTCCCACTCATTTATTTTGGCTTCTGTTGCTTTTGCTTTTACTATCAAATCCAAAGCAAGCATCTCCAAGACTATGTCAAGGAGCTTATGCTCAATGTTTTCTTCTAAGAGTTTTATGGTTTATGGTCTTACATTCAAGTCTTTAATCTATTTTGAGTTAATTTTTCCATATGGTGTAAGATAGTGGTCCAGTTTCATCCTCTTGCATGGGGCTGTCCAGTTTTCCCATCAACAATGATCAAAGATACTGTCCTTTCCCCATTCTATATTCTTGGTTTCTTTGTCATGAATTAATTGACCATATATATATATTTATTTGTGAGCTGTCTATTCTGTTCCATTTATCTATGTGTCTAGTTTTATGCCAATATCACGCTGTTTTGATTACCATAGCTTTGTAATACAGTTAGAAATCAGGAGCATGATGCCTCCAGGTTTGTTCTTCTTTCTTATGATTGCTTTGTCTATCAAGGGTCTTTTGTGGTTCCATATAAATTTTAGAATTGTGTCTTCTGTTTCTGTGAAAAATGACATTGGAATTTTGATAGAGATTTTACTGAATCTGTAGGTTGCTTTAGGTGGTATGGACATTTTAACAATAATTCTTCCAATCCAAGAGCATAGAATATCTTTCCATATATTTGTGTCTTCTTTATAGTTTACAGTGTCTTTCACCTCCTTGGTTAGTTTATTCCTAGGTATTTTATTCTTTTTGATGCCACTGTTATTAGAATTATTTTCTTAACTCTCTGATAGTTCATTATTAGTGTATAGAAACAACAGATTTCTGCATTATTTATTTGGTGTCCTGCAAATTTACTGAATTCATTTATTCTAACAGTTTCTTGTGGCATCTTTAGGGTTTTCTATGTATAATATCATGTCGTCTGCTAATAGTGACAGTCCTCCATTGTCCTTTTATAGCTTTACCCATATTTCTTCTCTGTTCCTTGGCTCTGACACTTAGTAACATAAATGTTATTTTCTATTTCTATCATTTTGTCATTTAAAATATTGTACAAATTGAAGCACTTACTGAAAGTATGCAAACTTTTGTTGCAGGCGGAAGTAATCAGATTTCTTTATTTTTATTTATTTATTTATTTAACAGAGGCACTGGGGATTGAACCCAGGACCTCATACATGCTAAGCACACACACTCTGTCACTGAGTTATACCTTCCCCTCAAAAATATGTAAACTTTTGAGATTGGTTTTTTTCACATAGCATAATTCTCTGGAGATTCACCCAAGCTGCTGCATATATTAATAGCTTGCAACTTCATATTGCTGAGTAGTGTACTATGGCATGGATGATTTACTATTTATTTAACCATTCACCTATTATGAAACATATGTTTCCAGCTTGGGGCAATTTTGATAAGCTATTTTAAATATTCATGTTCAAGATTTCATGTAGGCATAAGTTTTTATTTCTCTAGGATAGTTGTCTAGGAGTTCAATTGCTTCATCATATAGTAATTGAATGTTAAGATTAATAAGAAACTGCCAAACTAGTTTTCAGATGCTTGTACAATTTTGCATTCCCACCAGCAATATATGAGTGATAAAATTTCTTCACATTCACAGCATTTGGTATTGTCATTATTATTTTTACTTTAGTCATTCTGATAGCTGTATAGTAATATCTCATTGTGGTTTTAATTGCATTTCAATGATAGACTAGTGATGTTGAATATCTTTTCATGTGTTTATTTGACATCCACATATCCTTCTTTGTGAAATATTTTTCATGTCTTTTTCCCATTTCCTATGTAAATTGTTTGTTTATATACTATTGATTTTTGTGAGTTCCATTTATATCCAAAATCTTAGTCTTTTTTCAAACATGTAGTTTGCAAACATTCTCTCCCACTCTATAGCTTCATTTCATCATCATAACATGGGCTTTTGCCTAATTAATTGCTTAAATTTTAATGTGATTCAATTTATATATTTTTTCATTTATGTTTAATGTTCTTGGTGCCAAGTATAACACAATTCTTTGCCTAGCTGTAGCTTCAGAAGAATTTCGCCAATGCTTTCTCTAAAAGTTTCATAGTTTTATATTTTACATGTAAGTCATAATAATTTTAAGTTAAGTTATTTTCATGTAAAGAATGAAGTTCATTTGAGGTTTTCTTTGTTTGTTTTGCTTATGAATATCCATTGCTCCAGCACCATTCACTTTTTGAAAAAGATATTCTTTTTCTGTTGAATTGCTTTTGTACCTTTGTAAAACTCAGTTGGGAATATTTGTGTAAGTCTATTCCTTGGTTCTCTGTTCTGTTCCATTTATATACATATGTATACTTCTGCCAATACCACATAGTCTTCATTACTGCAGGTATACAGTAGGCTTAAATATCAGACACAGGAATTCCTTCCACTTTATTTTTTCTTTTTGAAGATTGTTTTAGCTATTTTAAATCTTTTCTGTAGAGATTTTTGGATAAGCTTTTCTATGTCTACAAAACAAACCTTGCTGACTTTTTATAGAAATTTTATCAAACCTGTAGATCAATTTGGTGAGATTGACATTATCATTATATTGAGTCTTTCAATTTATGAAAGATGGTATCCCTCTCCATTATTTAGATCCTCTTTGAATTCTTTCCATATTATTTTATAATTTTCAGTATAAAGATTCTATACATCTTAAGTGTATATCAAAGTATTTTTTATCATTGGGACACACAAATGGTATTTTTCTAAAATTTTGGTTTGAGCCCTTTCATTGTTAGCATACAGTAATGTGATTGATTTTTACATGTTGATCTTGTATCCTGAAACTTTGCTGATTTTGCTGGTTAGTTCTAGGAGGGTTTTCATTTTTTGTAGACTTCTTTGGATTTTCTAAGTAGACAATCATGCTACCTTTATGTAGGGACCGTAGTATGTCTTACTTTTAATCAATTTGCCATTTCTTGCCATTTTCTTTTTCTTGCATTATTGCAGTGTCTAGATTTTCCAGTACTATAGTAAATAAGAGTGGAGAAAGTGGATGTTATCAGCTGAGTTGTGTCCCTCCAAAATTCATATGTTGAATTTCTAGTCCCTAGTACCTCAGAATTTGATTGTATTTGGAGATACAATCTTTAAAGGTGTTTTTCAGTTAAAATTAGATCATTAAGGTGGTTTCTAATCTGATATTACTGATGTCCTTATAAGAAGAGGAGTAGGACATAGATAAACACAGAGGGAATAGTATATGTGATATAGGGAGTAGATAGCCATCTATAATCTGAGAGAGGCCTCAGAAGAAACCTTCCTTGCTGACACTTTTATCTCAGACTTCTAGCGTTCATAATTGTGAGAAAATAATTTTCTGGTTTTTAAGTCACCTGCTTGTAATGTTTGCAATGGAACTCCTAACAAACTAACCCAGTGGCCATCATTACCTTGTTCCCAATCTTAGAAACACGATTAAGTATGATGTTACCTGTGAGTTTTTTGTAGATGCTCTTTAGCAAGCTGAAGAAGTTCTCTTCCATTCTTATCTTTTGATAGTTTTTGCCATGAATGGGTGCTGGGTTTTATAAAAGCCTTTTCTGTGTCAATTGATCACATGAACCTTTTTTTCCCCTTTAGCCCGTTAAAAAGGTGGATTATATTGCTTGATTGTTGCTGAACCAGCTTTGTATACCTGGATTAAATTCCATCTAGCAAAGTTGCAAAATTATTTGTGCACATTGCTAAATTCAACTTAATATTTTACTGAGATGTTTTGCATATAAATTAATGAAAGATATTGATCTATAGCGTTCTCTCTCGTTTTGTTTTCAGGGCAATACTGGTCTCATTAAATGAGAATGGAACTAATTCCTCTTTTACTTCTAGAAGAGGTTATCTAAAACTTGTATTACTTCTTTAAATTCTTGATAGAATTCACCAGTGAAATCATTTGGGCTTATAGAGTTCTCTTTTAGGAGTTTTATAATTGCAAACTCAATTTTTTAATGAGAATAAATCTATTGAAATTGTTCATTTTATCCTGATGGAGTGCTGACAGTTTGCGGTTGTCTTAGTTTAGGCAGTGATAACAACAAAGCATAGACTTGGTGGCTAATACAACAAACATTTACTTTCTCACAGTTCTGAGGCTAGAATTCCAAGATAAAAGTGCCAGCATGGTTAGGTTCTAGTGATAGCACTCCTCACTTTCAGATGGCTGCCCTTTCACTGGGCCCTCACAGAACAGAAAAAGAGAAAGCAAGCTCTCCGGTGCCTCTTCTTATAAGAGCACTAATTCCATCATAAGGCCATATCCTCTTTGTTTTTATTTTATTTTATTGAGTTATAGTCAGTTTACAATGTTGTGTCAATTTCCAGTGTAGAGCACAATTTTTCAGTTATGCATGAGCATACATATATTCGTTGTAGCATTTTTTTCACCATGTGCTACCACAAAATCTTGTATATATTTCCCTGTCTTTTACAGTATAATCTTGTTTATCTGTTCTATATATATCTGTCACTATCTACAAATTTCAAACTCCCAGTCTGTCCCTTCCCACCTCCCTCCCCTCTGGCAACCACAAGTTTGTATTCTATGTCTATGAGTCTGTTTCTGTTTTGTATTTATGTTCATGTGTCTTTTTCTTTCTTTCTTTCGTTTTTTTTTTTTAATATTCCACATGTGAGCCATCTCACATGGTGTTTTTCTTTCTCTTTCTGGCTTACTTCACTTAGAATGACATTCTCCAGGGACATCCATGTTGCTACAAATGGCGTTATGTTGTCGGGTTTTATGGCTGAATAGTATTCCATTGTATAAACATACCACCTCTTCTTTATCCAGTCACCTGTTGATGGACATTTAGGCTGTTTCCATGTCTTGGCTATTGTAAACAGTGCTGCTATGAACATTGGGGTGCAGGTGCCTTTTTGAAGTAGGGTTCCTTCTGGATATATGCCCAGGAGTGGGATTACTGGGTCATATGGTAAATCTATTCCTAGCCTTTTGAGGAATCTCCACACTGTTTTCTATAGTGGCTGCACCAAACTGCATTCCCACCAGCAGTGTAGGAGGGTTCCCTTTTCTCCACAGCCTCTCCAGCATTTGTCATTTGTGGATTTTTGAATGATGGCCATTCTGACTGGTGTGAGGTGATGAGGCCCTACCCTCTTGACCTCATCTAAACCTAATTATCTTCCAATGTTCTCATTTCCAGATATCATCACATTGAGAGTTAGGGTTTAAACATATGAATTCAGGAAGATGCAATTTAGTCCATAGCAATGGTTTTGGGGGACTTGGTCCATTTCTTCTAAGTTGTGAAACTTGTGAGTGCAAAGTTGCTCACAGTATTTCCTTATTATCCTTTTAATAGCTCCATGATCTGAATATCATCTGTTCATTTTTTCATCTTGTTAATTTGTATCTTCTTTCTTTTTATTATTTTTGCTAGAGGTTTATTAATTTTATTGACTTTTTGATGAATCAACTTTTCTTTCATTCTTTTTCTTTATTGTTTTTCTTTTTCTCAGTTTTATTGATTTCTGCATTTATCTTTGTTATTTCCTTTCTTCTCTCTACTTTGGATTGATTTTATTCTTTTAAATATTTCTGTGAGGAAGGAATTTAGATTATTGATTTGAGATTTTTTATCTTTTCTACTGTAAACATTTAGTGCTCTAAATTTTCCTCTCAAGCACTGCTTTCTTGTGTTATACATTTTTTGATATGTTGTATTTTGATTTTCATTTAGTTATTTTCAATTTTTAAATTTCCTTTGAAGCCACCTCTTTGGCCCATGGATGACATAGAAATGTGTTGTCTAATTTCTACATATTTAGATACTTCCTGTTATATTTGTGTTGTTGATTTGTTTGATTCCACTATGTTCAGAGAATATACTCTGAATGATTTCAAGTATCTCAGATTTGTTGAAGTTTCTTCTATGTCCCCAGATATGGTTTATCTTGGCAGCTGTTCCATGTGTGCTTGAAAAAATGTGTATTTTGCTGTTGTTGGATGAAGGCTTCTATTTATATTAGAGTTGATTGATTTGTTGTCCAGTTCCCATATATCTTTGCTGATTTACTGTCTGGTAGTGTTCTATGGATTGCTGAGAGAGGACTGTTGAAGTACCCAATGGTAATGGAGGATTTGTCTATTTCCATTCCCGGCTGTATCATTTTTTGCTGTATTTATTTTGAGGCTCTGTTGTCTGGTGCATACATATTTAAAGTTGTTTTATCTTCCTGGTGAATTAATAATTGTATCATTGTGTAATATTTCTTTTGTCTCTGGTATATATTTTTGCTCTCAAATCTACTTTATCAGATACTAATATAGCCACTCCTATTTTTCTTAAATTATTAATTGTATGATATATCTTCTTCCACCTTTTAACTTTCAAACTATGTATGCTTTTGCATTTCAAGTGAGCGTCTTAATTTAGCACATTGTTAGATGTTTTTCTTTTTTTTCTAACCCCCTATTTTTTACATTTTTGTTGAGTAATAATCATTTTATAATGTTGTGTCAAATTCTAGTGTAGAGCACAATTTTTCAGTTATACATGAAAATATATATATTTATTGTCACATTTTTGTTTTGCTATGAGCTACCACAAAATCTTGTATATATTTCCCTATGCAGTACAGTATAATCTTGTTTATCTATTCTGCATTTTAAAATCCTAGTCTGTCCCTTCCCACCCCCCGCCCCATTGGCAACCACAAGTTTGTATTCTATGTCTATGAGTATGTTTCTGTTTTGAATTTTATTTTTATTTATTTATTTATTTATTTATTTATTTATTTATTTATTTAGATTCCACATATGAGTGATCTCACATGGTATTTTTCTTTCTCTTTCTGGCTTACTTCACTTAGAATGACATTCTCCAGGAACATCCATGTTGCTGCAAATGGCATTATGTTGTTGGGTTTTGTGGCTGAATAGTATTCCATCATATAAATATACCACATCTTCTTTACTCAGTCATCTGTTGATGGACATTTAGGCTGTTTCCATGTCTTGGCTATTGAAATAGTGCTGCTATGAACATTGGGGTGCAGGTGTCATTTTGAAGTAGGGTTCCTTCTCGATATATGCCCAGGAGCGGGATTCCTGGGTCATATGGTAAGTCTATTCCTAGTCTTCTGTGGAATCTCCATACTGTTTTCCACAGTGGCTTTCCTTGCTTCCCTCTCCCACTTTAAATGATTTAGATGTCTTCTTTTACAATTTTGTGTTTATTCTTTTTGTAATTCATGGCAGTTATCTCCTTTCCAGTTATGAGTTTCTCATTTTTGTAGCATCTTGCTCCTTTTCTATTTACAGTAGACCTATCAATATTTCTTTTAGCATGGGTTTAGTGTTGCTAA